CCTTTTTCAAAGGTAATGTTTCAGCAGATAGTACTCTCTGCTTTTTAAGGCAATATGTAATGTAGGAATAGTGCTATTCAGCTATGATACCTGCAGTTTGTTAGAGATACAACATTGTCACTTTATTTTACTTATTTTTTTAAAAGCTTAATCCTGACTAAGCCTGGGTAAATTTAAACTGTATAAGAACCGTGTTAAAGGAGCATGGTGTATGCCTTATTTTGAGGCCTCTACTTTAATCTGATGGGCTTGGCAGTAACAGCTCAATATTAAGACCATATGCAGCTTCAGTTGGTCCTTGGTAACTGAGAACACATGCATACATAAAGAGACCAGCACAACAATGCCAGAAAGACACAATAAACCACCCATCACTTGAACAAAAAGACAGTTATTGCTGGAGTTTAAATATTTCCGTGTCTTGTCTTGGGACACAGACGTTTTCAGCAGTCTTGGTTTTGATGAAGAAAAATTGGTGCAATGAAGCAAATAATTTAATCTGTTTTCCTTTTTCTTAGTAGCTCTGGCAAAAATGAATAATATGCATAGACAGTATCCATGTTGTCTTGCGTTGAACTGACAGGGAATGTTGAATACACCACAAACTCCTGGATCAATAAATCCATACTTTTCTTTTCACTCTATTACAGTCACAGCTATGAAATGAGCTGGCCACTGCAGCAGTTCTATGATTATAGGAGCTTGAGAGGTTCACGGATTATGTTTTGACCTAAAATGTCAGTAATGCTACTCAGCTGGAAAGAATGATTTCCCTGAAACTATTCCAAGTGAAGCATCAGGGATGTTTTAAGGTTATTGTGGGCCTATCCTGCCATACCTATTGATTTGGGACCCTCTCTGGGTTTCCCAGTCAGTAATTTCTCAAGTCGAAGATGTTATAGAAACTTTGCAAATAATTCATGTTGACTGACTGATGGCCAGTGAGCAATCCTGTGTCATTAAATCCAGCAGTCATTAAAATCCATCCTCCAGAGATGCTTTGGCTTCCCAAATCTTCACAGTTCGGTCACTGTCGAAAACACAAAGGTAAAGTTTATGATAATAATCAAAATTTGTAATTTTAACATGTCAGGATTGTAGTTCAACACTACTGACTAGTGTTCAACTATGTTAGGAGACTTACTCAGAGGCAGTGAACAGTTGGCTGCTGTTAGTAGCCAGGCCGTTGATTGGACTGTCGTGTCCTTGGACCTCACCGAGGGGTGCAAGCGAGTCAGTGTGCCAAAGGCGCAACAGCCCTCCTCTGCATCCACTGAGCAGAACCGGGGAGCCTGGCACCACGCCCAGAGCACTAACCCAGTCTGCCTTGGCATTGACTGACTAGTAGATGCAATAACAGCCAACAGTTAGTGTAGAGTTTATCCGATTTACAAGTTTAAGTCACTGATATAAACTTTTTAATCTTGGGAAAAATCTTTGATGCACAATACCTGTAACAGTTTCTTACTGGCCAAGTCCCACTTTTTAATATAATAGTCTCTGGAGCTGCTGTAGAAAAAGTCTCCATGCACAGTGAGAGACTCCACGCTGTCCTGATGGACGGGGTCAAACGTATGGCAGGAGGTGATGCTACCCTGAGCGCCCTCTGTCACCTCAAACATCTGAAAAACAAGCACATTTGTTCTTTATATATATGGTGGTTATCATAAAATTTGACGACTCTGTTCATTGCTCCCTGGAAGTATAGTTAGGGCTGTATCAGGTGATCCTCAATCCTCCCTTAGTTATGCTGTTGGTTATGCAACCCTCACTACCCTGGCAAGCAAAATATTACTCCATTGAAACGGGCAATTCCGGACAGTTGGTAGTACTGCAGGAAAAAAGTGTTAATCTAACAGATTAACACTTTTGTCCCCCCGCCGCAGTTTTAAATCCCTGAAAGTGGGGACGTCTCTCCCAGAGCTCCAGTTCGGTGACACCATGTGCATCTTGTAGAGCAGTGGTCCCCCCCACACACAAACACATCCTCCAACCTCACGCAAACTTCAATTTTTTTGTACACAACCATCCATCCATCTTCATCCGCTTTGTCCGGGGCCGGGTCGCGGGGGCAGCAGCCTAAGCAAAGAGGCCCAGACCTCCCTCTCCCCAGCCACCTCCTCCAGCTTATCCGGGGGAATACCATGGCGTTCCCAGGCCAGCCGAGAGATATAATCTCTCCAGCGTGTCCTGGGTCTGCCCCGGGGCCTCCTCCCGGTGGGACATGCCTGGAACACCTCACCCAGGAGGCATCCTTATCAGATGCCCGAACCACCTCAGCTGGCTCCTTTCGATGTGGAGCAGCAGCTGCTCTACTCTGAGCCCCTCCCGGATGGCCGAACTTCTCACCCTATCTCTAATTTGTTTAAACAATTAAACAAATTAAAATAAACTACTACCTCTTTTAAATAACAGAAAAACAAACCATCTTTATGGTGTAATTATTTTACGTTTAGGTTTTTTTTTAATTGTGTAAGAATTTTCAACATTGGTATCAATACATTTTTCAAAAAAACACCTCTCTGTGCAGAATGGGTTTAAAAACATTCTGTGGCAGGATCAGCCTGATATTATTCACATTCGACTGTAACTTTACTGTTTAAAGAGCTAACATCTTCAAATTTTCAGGAGTAGTTATTCGTTATAAGAAGTGTTTGTGAAATAAAAATCAAGAACGTGGGATATTGTTTGTCCGTGATTTGGACAGCCTAGCGCAACGCAGGGGGAAGCAAATTCTGGCGGGGATGCCTACCTTAGCACCACCGTTGTGCAGGTGAAGGCAAGATATCATCATAGTTTTTACACTTTGGCTTTACTTTACAATATAAAGAGCCTTGAAGGAACTGTTGTAATTTGGTTTTATTTAAAAACAGAATATAATTCAACTGATTTGAGTTGAAAATCCTATTCAGACTATATATCTATATATATATATAGGACGCTGCTACAACACATATATGGCTACATTTTTGTGTAGCTTCCTACTTTAATATGATGGTCTTTGGAGCCGGTGAGCACCAGGTCCTGCCCGCTGCCCAACTTTTCGACTGTCAGACACATAACAGGCCCCAGATGGCCGGTCAGCTTCCCCGTAGATGCAAATCTAAAGAAAGGAGTCAAATTAAGAAATCATTACCAAAATAAATACCTCCTATGAAACTGCTTATAGCTAAAACTCATATCGATGTTACTGTAACTCACTTGCGGAGATCCCACATGCGGACAGCATTGCCAGCAGCAGCATACAGGAAAGAGCCAGTGTGGTTGAGAGTAATCTGATTGATCTGACTCTCTCCAGGTGGGATGGATAAACTCCGAGCAGAAGAACAGGTGTCTCCTGAGCCCACCTGTCCCGATGACCTTACACGTATAATAAAAATGCAAAACAATAAGATGGTGATAAAACGTAATGACAGATGCTGGACGGAGGGGCGCGTGAACTTACGTGAGTGTGCGGATACACTTGGCAGAGTCTCGTATGTCCCAAACTTTGATGTAAGCAGTGGAAACGGTGAAGACAAGGCTGGAAGTGTACCTATAATAACAGCAACATGTAAGTAATCTATCCAAAGGTTAAATACAAAAACCAATGTTACTAGTGATTCTAGTATTCTGGTACCTGACTGAGACGACACTGCTGGGATGATCAGCCAAAGACATGATCTCCTGACCTGTCACCAAGTTCCAGACCTTACATGTCCGGTCTAAGAAGACGCACGAGCACAGGTCAGATTAAGAAACAAAAAGGAAAGAAATCATAGAAAACAGTCTTCTCGTTGTGGCCGTTTGAAAGCCGGTGCAGTTTTTACCTTTAGACCCTGTAAACAGCAGGTCATCAGTGGCGTCTACACAGAGAACAGGCTTGGTGTGGCCCTCAGCTACATAAACACACTGAAGTTTGCCCCCCCGACTGTTCTTGGGGCTTGTTACAGGGTTGATGACACCCCTACAAACATGACAGAACATTTTAGACTTTCACTAATCAGCTTTCTGCACCAGCAAAGCCTTGTAGTGGCATACTGTAGCTGACAGATTAAAGTGGTTAAAGCAGTGACAGAATGAAAGGGAAAGGAAGTACAGAGTTAACTATTCCCTCTGATTTTAGCTTACATTTGATATTTAATTAAACGTATTAAAGAGGCATGAATTACCTGTGGCCTTCAAATGCAGGCGAGTCCTCCAGCCTGAAACAAAATAATAATGGTTATTTAAAACTTAAATAAATAGAGTTAAACTTAAAGGGCGTATTAGCATCCTAACATTTGCCTTTTGCAACAATTTGCTCAGTAAAGCAGTGAAGTTCAGGCTGCTGGGTTCATGTCATTTTTGTAATCACCTAAATTAAATTATGGCTCATCAGGTGTTCATGAATGGCCCTGTTGTAATTATCCAGCTGCGGCCTGACTGACACATGGCTAAAACTACAAACAAACCTGTTCTTCTGATTAAAGGAAGTTCACACTTACAGGGATTTGTAGTCACTGGCTTTGGTTTTAGTTTCCGCTGTGCTAACTGGAGCTGCATGTACAGGTCCTGGGATCTGCGACGCCACGCTTCCTTTCTCGTGCATCTTCCTGCGGCTGAGCGGCGAGCGCTCCAGTTGTTTCCTCTCAGCTCCTGTAGGTGATCTGGATCTGGAACTACAGACGGTAAAGATTTCACAAGGAGTTTTGTTCTTCTGGAGTAATAACACGTAACATTTTAGCAGCAAGATATCACACAAACAGTCTTCAATATTTCAGAATGCTGAATGATGAGCACCGGAAATATCTGGCATTTCAGAAGAGAACTTTGATATTTTTGTGCCCTGCAGAGAAATGTTGCTTTTACCACTTACATGGCAGCTGGCCTGGCAGACAGCGCAGATGGGGAAACAGTTTGCTCACGGTCAGCGGTTTGACCAACCGCTTGACCCTGCATGTCTGCCGGTCCTTCCAGGCGCTCAGCGAGGGGCAGCAGAGGGGCTGAAAAGTCTCCAGTGGGGGATTCACAGGACAAATCTCCACTGCTGGCATAAAGCAATTCCATCTGTGTGGTGGTTCGCCTTCGAGCCTGGGGGACCAGAATAGTTTGGAACACGGACTCACAACTCACTAAGCAGCTAGTAATTATCCTAAATTCAACAAAGTATTGTGGAACTTCTGCTTAACTTTGGATGAAGTAAAAAGGAGGGGAATTGGAAAAATATGGATCAAATATGATAAAGTAAATTCAGTTTTAAATTTAAACACATTCTTTAACTGTTAAACGTAAAACACATGGGCTTAAACAGTATGCGGCACATTGCCCGGCAGAGTACAGTACCTTGCTTCTTGGTCTGGATTCACCACACATCTTCATTAAATCTGATGCCAGTGTGCTGAAACACAGAATTTTCAACCAGTTATTTCCAGTACATGTTAGGCTAGCAGTACAATGTTTACCAATTTTATGATATTAGCATTTAATTTGCACCTGCACTTTCAGACTCGAGATATGCAGCATCATCCCTATGTTTTATCTGAGAACGCTCTTCTTCACCAAAGAAGTGGGGAAAAAAAAGGAAAGAGAAAACACAACTGGTGTCTGGATAGAAAGTGATCCTCTTCCTCCTCACCTCAAATTTATCTTCAGAACTGAAGCCAGGGCTCTAATGCACACGCGTGTGCATAAACACGCTCAGCAGATTAGACATCCAGCGCACCCCTCAACATTATGAGAGCTAATTTTAGGCTTTCAAGGGTTCTAAAAATCACAGTTTGTCTCTGATAAACAGTTTGATTGCTTTCACACATGTGACAGTTGGCTCATATTACAGCTTGTTCGCTATCTGTATCTGAGTCTGATAATGTTAGAGCCACTTCAACGAAGGTTTCACAAATGCCAGCTAACAGCAGCTAACAGAGGCTAACGGCAGCTAACAGAGGCTAACAGCAGCTAACAACGGCTAACGGCAGCACACAATAACATGCAGGAAAAAGTTGCCTGCTCAACTACGTGAGCTACAATGGTACAAACAAAAACAGGCCTCGTCAATAACTAGTATTTGCTTTGTCTATATCCGGCTTCTGTACAAGCAACAAAGTAGTTAGTGACACAAAGTCGTTAGCATGCAATGAACGTGCGATTTCACAGATCCAGGCATCACTCGTTTAAATCGCACCGACGGCAAGGGGCGAAAATGCTCATCAAAAGGGGACTTCTGCGATCATGATGCATGAAATCATGAATTACTTTTTTCTTCTTCTAACACTGTGAACCTATAAAGTGCTTTTGAATTGATAACCTGTGCAGGTGTATATATTTACCTGCCCTCTGTGGCTGGACTGGGGGTGGATTCATCACTACTGCTGTCATCTCCGTTCTCTGCAATAATGACAGACACAAATAAAGACACATTTAGAAAAGGGAAAAACAAAGAAAAATGTGTCTTTGTGAGTGTGGAAAGCATGTGTGACTTCCTTGATGGCACATTTTAGATGTCAGGGACTGTTCAGAATGTTGCTGCAGCGGTTCATAAACGAGGTTGGGGGGTCGTTTAGTGTAGTTTTAGATAAAGGGTGATCTTGGACAGAAGGAAATGGAGGAAAACGCAAGAGAAGACAAACACAGAAAGGCTGACACGCAAACTGCTGCTTCCACATAATCGCAGCTCATCCTCATGAAGTGGGACTGGCTAGCAGGTGGGGTGACACGTCATGCATATTACTGGCACAGTTACGACAGCCGGGTTAGTTTTTATCAGGACTGCGATGCACGTGATGCACACGGCAAGATTCCATCATTTTTTTCAAATGTAGATTTTTTTCTTTATAATTTGGAAACTAATTGCACAAAAAATCAGACTGAAAACAGTTCACAGTTTGGGAGCAACATTTAATGGAAATCGTGTAGTGTGCACGTGCTTTGCTCTCTCACGCACTAACGTACTGCTGTGTATTTTTGTCACTCACCTGGAGACAGGTAACCTAACTCTGAGCTCACAGCAACACCACAGAAAGAAACAAACAGAAATCAAAAATCAAAACCCAAAGATGAGGAAAAAGGCTACTCGTTATTTTACTGGCTTCAGTGACAATTTGATGCTTCATAGTGACAAATTCTTCACATCTCTTTTGGACAAGCTGAGGAAGCCGGTAAAGTAAAAAAGTAGCCGCACACGGTTAAAAAGATGACTGAAAAAGGTGATTGCGCCCGACGGGCTCGGACCCGAGTCGATCTGTCGGTGCCCGCTACCTTGCAAAGCGCTGCCCAGCAAGGCGTCCAGCTCCGGGTTGATCTCAGCTTTCTCCTTGAGCATGTGGAAGAGCAACTGGTTCTGCGTGGCGCTGTTGATCTCCGTCTGTTTCAGCCTGCCCTCCATCACCTTCAGCTGGGAGTCCTTTTGAGCCGCCTGCAGACCCTGAGTCCCGGCACAGCAGAGAGATTATCACAGAGCTCTTTTTAATTGTTTGTACTCGTATAATGGAGGTCGACCTCCGCATCTGTTCAGCGCAGGAAACAAACATAATAAAGGCTCGGCCTCTTTCAGTTTAGTGTGAAGTAGTAATTACTTCCGCTTCTTCGTTTGTGCTCTCAGTCTTCCTCCTTTTGCCGCTGAGCTGACTGCATTTCCTCACTGGACCAATTAGGTTTCGCCAAATCTAATCTTATCTAATCTAATGGAGACTTAATTCAATCATGTTGTTCCATTAAAGGTCTCATTAGATTCAATCTCATAAAGGAGCCATGGTTACGAAGAAAACGGGCTCGGGATAAACAGGCAAACTGCAAACGAGTTACCACGACGACTGCAAATAATTGCTATGCAATTAAATTCATAAAGCACTTCTACTTAGAGAAAGGTTGGTATCATAAAAAATAAACATTGTGATATTTTGTAATATTTATTTGACATGTCTGGTGTGAGTCATCTGTTGGTACCTTATTAATGGCCATAGTCATGAAATGGTCAAGTAGGAAGCGGGACTCAGATAGGTTACAGGAACTGATGACAGCAGCAGCATCCACGGTGTCTCCTTCCTCCTGCAGCCCACAGCGATGACACATTTCATAAAACATTACTGCGAGGAACTTGACAACTTATTTCCACACAGTGTGATTTGATTTAAAATGAGGACAGCAACCTTCTTCCATAGCTAACACCAGCTATCAGCACTGCTAACACAAACAAGTTTTATAAACAGCAATTCTGTGAGAGATTTCCTGATGTGCTTGGGATCATCATCCCGTTCTATGACCCAGTTGGCCTCACTTCTGACTCTAGAGCACTTTGGTATACAGAGGCGTTCATGGTCGACTCAATGGCCACAAGGTGCCCGGGTCCTGAGCTGCAAATCAAGCCCAAATCATTACTCTGCCACCAAAAGTGCTTGGTCTGGTTTTCTCCAAATGTGAAGCTGTGCTTTACAGCGAAATATCTCCACTTTGGTCTCGTCTGCGTCTAAAGGACACTGTTCCAGAAGTCTTGCAGTTTGTTCAGATGCAAAATCTGCAGCAACTCTCTGGTGTAGGTCTTTGGTGAGGATTGCATAGTCTGAATTTGGGGATAATTTTCTGGAACGTCTACTCCTGGCAATATTGGGGGGGGGCACTGTGTTAAAACACAGCGGACATTCCCAGACCTCCAAATTGCCAAAACATCTGCTTTTATAGAGGTGCATTGAAGTGCATTTGATTAAAGTTGTACTTCTTTTTTAACAGGACAATTAAAACAGAAAAACATCTCAAACTGACTGGATTATGAGAGCAAACATTGTTAGCTGCTATAAAACTTTCACCCACGGCTGGGATGCAATTTAATGAATCACTAGTCTGACACTAACCATCAGTTAGCAACCCAATTCTAAGCCTGCAGAGATTTCCAGTAACGCACATTTCAGCCAACACAGCATTACATACCACCGCTCTCAGTGCTATCTCATTAGTGACCCCAGGCTTACTATTGATAAATAATTGCACAGTTTAACCCAAGCGGCAGCAAATCAGAGGTTTTCAGGATCCGCGGCTCTCTAATTCCTAAATTGCACACTTTAAACTCAACAATTTGTGCAGCAGCTTAAAGAGCATCGTGAGTGGCTGATGGCATGAATGTGAGGTACAAAACTCAGAGTGTAAACGTTATATGTGGAAACAAAAACTTACATGTATACACGGCTGATCAGCTGCCACCATTAGGCTGCTTTGGCTGCATTAATGGGCTGTGCTGCCGGTGGGTTGTTGTTTTATTGAGTCATTGTTGTTTTGACAAATAGGCGCCTGATGCTTGTTTGTCAAAGTGGGGCCCAAAATGCTCTGGGACTGTCAGCGGTGCAGAACTGCAATTATTTCCCAAATTGATTGCCCAAGGGTGACAGCCCCATGCAAGCCCATTCTCGCTAATGAGGCAGCGATGATAGTGTTTGCATCATTATGAGCTGCGTGCGAGTGTGCGAACATCATACTGCCCTTCTTTTATGAAGCATTACAAACAGACTCGAATAAACACTGGGATCACGCGCGGCCGATTGCTGCTGTTCTCTCACCTTAGCCTCCTCCATCTGCATGATGTTGGCCTGGCAGTCGGCGATGCTGTCGTTGATGTAGTCGATGTTGGCGCTCAGGGACTCCAGCTCCTCGTTCAGAGACGCCAGGGAGCGGTCGGCGTCCGCGCCGTCTACTGCCGTTTTTTCTCTTTTCCTAGACACTCGCTCACGTCGCCTAGTCAGCTCCTCACGTTGCTGGAGAAAAGGCGAGAACAGAGGTTAGAAGGAAAGGAGGACAAAGAAGCATTTTAAAAGCATTTTAGTTGGTGCAACTACACACAAACATCTCTCTCTCTGCAGTAATTGGGCTCTAAAGTAGGAGAGTAGCAGTAAAACTCCTCAGTGACAACAGAAACAGCATGACAGCTGGGGTGGAAGTGGGTTGCAAAGCAGCTTGCAGATGGGCAACAACTGTGTTCAGGCTAAAGCAGCTTAAGTAGTGGGGCCTATGTGAGTTCAGCAAACTGGATATTATCACAATACTTCTCAATACTTCATGTTATTGCGATTTTTACCATTTTGCATTTGCTGAGCATTGAAAAAAAACTGTAATAGTGTATCGACCAGCTGATGTGGGCTGAACATTACCTTCAGTAGTCGGTTCATATCTGTCTCCATGTTAGAGATGGTCATCCTCTGCATGATGATGTCATTGATGCGTCTCTCCAGTGACTGCCACTTGGCCCTGGCTGATCTGTTGAGGTAGATACTTCCCATCCGCACTGGGGAACTCCTAAAGAAGAAGGCATTCTTTCAGACGTCTCACTCAGCTGACATGCACACTCATGCTGTAAATGCGCTAACGCGGTTTACCTGGCTCCGTTGGAAGAGCTTGCACTAGAGGACTGCAGCCGTCCTGGGACTGCTCTATGAGAGGGTTCCTGAGGAGGTTCAGGTAGGCTCACTTTCCTGCTCACTTTTCCGGACACGGGCCTCACCTGGCGCCTAAGAGCGGTCACCTGACACAGAGAACAGGTATAACAAAGCCACATGTAACATAGTCATCATTGCCTCCCTCAACTGCGTTTTACCTCTTCATTCTTCCGACGGAGGATCAGCTCCTGCTGTCTCTTCTGGGCCTCGAGCTGCCTCACCTGGTGCTGTGAGACAAGATTGGTTTTAGTTTTGTCTTTATGATCCAAAAGCAACTTTATAAGACATGAGTGTTCCTGTGCCTCTTACCTCAGCTCTGCGCTGGTCTTTTTTCAGTGAGGCTATCTCTCTGTTCCTCCTGCACTCTGTGGCCCTGTTCCTCTCCTGCTGCTCCTTCATCTGGCGCATCAGTGCCACCTGGTGGACAAGCATAACACAGCAAGTGTAGCATCGCAGCTACAAGACAAGTGTGAAAAGTGCTGCTTATCCCAAAATGAAAAGAAGGAGCTTTACTTTGGTTTTCTTCATCTCGGTCACATCCAGCTGGAGTTTCTTGAGCTGCTTCTCGTACTGCGACTGGTTCTTCAGCAGGCGTGCGTGCTCCTTTTGGGCAGACTGGAGCTTCTGCAGCTCTTTGTTCATGGAGGTCAGCTTCCTCTCGTACTCAGCTTTGATCCGTTTGGCCTTTTCCTCCGTACCGGACTCCACTGAACCTGTGGATGGAGTAGGTTTCATTTCCTTTGCTCTTTAATCCTCTTTGAACAGGCAGATCCTAATTTCTCCATCTTACCCATGTTGTGCAGCACTTTGTCCCTCTCCAGCTGCGTGTCTCTGATCTTGTTCTGCAGCATCATCAGCTTCTGTTCATACTGCTGTTTGAGAGTGTGCAGACGCCGCTGGCTGTTCTCCAACTCATCGATCAGCTTCTGCTTGATGGCGATCTCACAGGTGATGTTGGCCAGGTCGGCTTGAACGTTTTCTGCACACCCCAAAAAGAAACATGAAGTTCAGAGTGCGGTTTCTTTTCAATCTGTGCACAGTTTTGTCTGGGGAAACAAAGATGAGCTCTTATTTTGATACTTCCTTCCATCTGGATAGCTGTACCTTTCTCATCCAGTTCTTCAGAGTCAGACTCCTCGGATGTCTCATCTCCCGCCATCTCAAAGTCCTCTTCTTCTCCATCAGCATCCTCGCCCTCTTCATGGTCGCTGCCCTCCTGGTAAAATGGTAACAAACGCTGAGTAATATGTGACATTTACATATTATATTTACAGTTTAAGTTATTTAATCCAGCAACCTACCACCTCTGCCTCCTCGTTTCCTCTTTCCTGATCGTTGTCCGGCAGCTCCTCTTTGACAACACTAAAGGAGGGAAAGAGTGTTAGCTCTCTGTCTAAGAAGGAAATGCTACAGTCCCAAGAGTCAAATTTGGACTAACAGGAAGTTAAATCACAACAAATACAGATGAATGACACATGCAAATGATTATAGGCTTGATTAATGAATGATTTCACAAACATGGAGGACACAGTGGGAGAGACGAAGAGATTAAACGATCAGTAACTACCATCCACATTACATTAGGAGCCGCCGCACACTGCAAAGATCTGCTGACCAAATGCCACACTCTACAGCAAAATGTGTGATATTTATCAACTCCAGCTCCGAATTTAATATGTTTTCAATGGTTTTGGTATCACAAAACGTGATCTGATCAACACCTTGCAGTGTGCAGTGAAAGGGAAAAAGAGGGCGAGGAAAGAGCTGGTTAAATTCCCTGCTCCCTTTGCAGGACTGTGAACCGCCTGTAGGTGCAGAAAAAGTTAGTCGCTTCGGGAATTTGGAAAAGAAGGAAGACTTGGGTCAACAATCAGCTAAAATCACTTCAAGGGAAGGGCACAAATTCCATTGCCAGTTTCAGATTGAGTATTTGAACCCCATTTGTTGATGGGAGGCGGCAAACCTGGCGTCCTCAAGCTCATGATGGTGATTCTCTTCGTACTGCCTCAGTCTTCGGTGAGAAGGATGGAGGTGGGGAGGGTGAGGACGGCGGAGGTAAAGAGAGCAGACAGGCCACAGAATTTGGGGGAAAACGAAGGATGTTTATAAGAGAGAGACAGAGAGAGAGGGCGAGAGAGATCAGCAAGAGGTGAGTGACAAAAAACCCAAAACAGCAGCTCAAATGATGGATTTTGGTTATGGAGATGTAAAGAAAGGCAGATTTCATGTGAGAAAACCTGATTTAAAGAAAATAAACAGTTCTTTGTAACTTGCAGATCCCAAGCATGTATAGAAATAAAAATATACAAGACAGATGCAGCAAAAGGATAAGCGATCAATGGCCTCCAGCGTGTTGGAGAAGTGGTGACTGAATGCAGCACACATTCCATTAAAGAAACAACAGGGTGTAAACTGCTAATGCAGGGAATCAGCAGATAATTACAACACGCCAAGAGGCGACACTCTGGCTGCACATTAACAGCTCTCCAATTTCTACTTCCTGGCAAAGCGGCTGTTATTCTTACGCACTTCCAGGAACGGACTAGAGCTTCACAACTGTGTGCCAACTTGAACATGTACCTCTTTTTCTTCTTTTTCTCCTTCTTCTTGAGTTTCTCCAGGTCTTTCTTGGCCATCTCGATGACGTCCCTGGCCTCCTTCCCTGGAGCGAGGAGGGCGGGGCCGCCGTACAGCGAGGAACGAGTGGAGGCCCGGGACAGGTTCTTCCTGAGGTTCTCGCTCACGGCCTCGCTCTCCAGAAGTTTGGCTCTGAGGAACGAGTTACATTACACAAACGTTAGTGTTGCTAAACAACACTTGCAGCACATTTTAATGTGAAGTTATACTGTTGTTGCAGACACGTTCCTGTGATCTGGCTAAGGATAAAATCTGGTCTCCTTTCGTACCTGAGCTCCTCGATTTCTTTGATGTAGTTCTGAATCATGTTGCCGATTTCTTCGTTACCTTCACCTACAATTAAAGGAAGTTAGGACTTTAAATGATATAAAACTATGTTAATTATAAAACTAATAGCTTAAAATCATTTCCGAAACATGCTTTAGTGGTTATTTTATCTGACATACTGGTTTAAAACATAAACTGTATATAAAAGACCGACATATCAGTAAGGGGATAGTGATTTGGGTTCCAAAAAAGAAGTCTATAAGCCTAATTATCCATACTAAGCATCATCGTCTGGGTCCGATTAAGCAGAGACACCCTCCTTCACTCCGCCCCCTCCTCAAGCTCTTCCTGGTTGTCACTGAGATTCTTCCAATCCTTCTGGGTCTCTTCTCTGTGGGATATGGCCAAAACACCTCACCTAGCAAGCGCTCAGGAGACGTCCTAATCAGATGCCTGAACCACCTCAACTGGTAGCAGCTCTACTCTGACTACTGGTTACTTTGAAACTCACATATTACAACTGCACGTCCTGGGTTTGTCAATCAGATCATCCAGTTAGGCTAGGACAGGGTTAGGATGGAAAACCAACATGGCAGTAGGCACGATGCTCAGCTCAGAATAGACAGTGAGTGATTTGATGAAAACCTGCCAACATGCTAGCGTTATAGCATGCTAACATTAGCATTTAGCCCAAGGCCCTGCTGTGTATATGGCCATACATAGTAAACGGACTGGTTCTTATGATGACGTCTCACTGTAAACCAACCAACCACTTTTTAATACTAAAATCCCAGTTCTACAAAGATTAGAACTATATAAAAAATATGATACAGCATATACAGTATCAGCAAAACCAGCTGTGTCATGAGGCTGTGTAAGACATATGTTGTATGAGCTTTTTTGAAAATGTCCTACCTGCTTTGGCGAGAGCCTGGTTTGCCTGGTCACTGAGGATCTGAGTGAGTCGAGCTCTCTGGGCATCAATGGTCTCCTGCATGGCCTTCACTCTCACTCTCAGGTTGTTATTCTCCGTCTGCAACATGGAGTTTTCATGGACCAGGTCGTTCATGCCCTCCATGCCGTCTTCACCCACCATGCGCTTTCCCTAAACAATCGACAAAAGGGCCAAATATTGCTCTGCTCATGTCCTCTACATGGACTGTATTTGTGAATGCATTCCCGCCTGTGCCACGCTCTTACAGTCTTGTACTCCATCAGCTCCATCTGCAGTCGTGCTATCTCTGTCCTCAGGGTGCTGATCTGCTGGCTGGCCCTATCCTGGTTCACCATCACCTTGTTCTTGATGTTCCGGGCCCGGTTGGCGTATTTTAGTGTGTTCAAGGTTTCCATGAAGTCCCTGTCTGACGGGCTGATGCAGGCGATCATCACAGTTTGACTGGAGGATGCAAGAATAACGATCAAGCCCGTTGATTTCTTACGGCTAGTATGGATATTTAAATGCATATCTAATATTTATTTAAAGAGACATCATAGCAGATTCTTCCCCACAAACCTGTTGCCACCTAGTGAGTCCTGTAACAGCCGGGTCAGTTTGGAGTCTCTGTAAGGCACGTGAGTGGAGCGCTTACTCCTGTCTCCAAGAGCACTGATGACATTTCCCAGGGCGAGCTAAGGAAGGACACGGAAGAGGAGAACAAGCATTCAGCCTTAGTTACCTTGCCATCAGTATTCACTATAAATAAGGTTATGGTGGAAGAAATCAACAGTGTAATGCCTATTCTGTCCATCAGGGGTCTCTCCTGCACCACACACTGGTAAATGCTGGTCTCTTACTTGCTTTTCATCACTGTCCTATTAAATGCAGCTCAAACTAAATTAAGTGGCCAGTGACAGCAGCGCAGTGTTTACTGTTTAAAGTTCTCCATAGAGCTTCCTCACCAGCCCACAGTTGATGGAGATGCCCTCTTTCGCTCTGTCTCCTGTAGCTCCAGTTCTCTTTAATCTCTCAGAACCCGCCAGGTCCACAAAGTGGAACTTGGCCGTCAGAGTCTCAAACTCATCGATCTCCGAGTCGTTAGCCAGACGGTTATCCGTCGCGTTATCCTGGACGAAAAGGGCAAGGAAAGTAAATAAACAGAACTGCGACTGATGCAAACACACCAGTCCTCTGTTGCCTTTCATAACAATACTTACATTGTTGTCAGGGGAGCAGACTCGCACTTGGCACAAGTGGATGGTGAAGATGGCATGGGAGCGTGAACTCTGGACGTTCATCTGGGTGCTGGCGGTGGTGCGAGACAGAGCGCCCAGCTTCAGACACTGAATCATCTGTTAGAGGAGAGGTGGAAGAAACAGATGACAAATAAATTGTGTGATTTCTCATATCATTTCTGAGCTTCACAGAAATCTAAACATAGAGACTGTTCCTAACCACTGTGATCGTTGAAGAGTTCAGTTAAGAGACTTTAGCAGCTGAAAGGTAAAAAGACTACAAGAACTTAATGATGACTTCCTCACTGGGAGATGTGAGTCTCTGCTGGAGAGAAATCCTACTCACTGAATGGAAACACTACTGTGCAAAACTCTTGAGCAGCACTCATCTTTTTCTATTTAGCGAGGGAAAAAAAATCTACTTCTATGGATGTTTCTGCCTTTTGTTCAGTTCTTTGTCAGCATGATCCCACGCTGCTTCAATAATGTTGAGGCCCAGGCTCTGGAGATGACTGGTAGTGTTTCACTGTTACTGCATTGGCAGTGTTTGGGATCAGACTCAGGCCAGATGCATCTTCAGGTCCTGTGTCAGGTCTTTATTGGCTTTCTTAACAGGATGACAGCATTCAGATAATGTTCATGTTTTATCCTCCACTTGTCCAGGTTCCTCAAATTTTTTAAAGGACATGCTGCACATGTTTTTGGCTAATAGCTCTTTGGGAATCACCTTGTTGCTGTAAAAATTCTACTTTATGCCTGTTAGACTGTTATCTCTGTGTTTGCCATGTGAGAGCTAAATAATCTGCTAGTAACTAAGCACTGTATGATACAATATGAAAAAATTGCCAGACGATTCTAGAGTTTATTGAGCCATCTGACAGATACATCCATCCATCCATTTGTTTTTGCTCATCCTTTTTCAGGGTCACTCGAGCCTATCCGAGCTGGCTTAGGGCGAAGGCGGGGTACACCCTGGACAGGTCGCCAGTCTGTCGCACGGCTAACACACAGAGACAGACAACCATTTGCACTCACATGCGCTCCCGCATTCACACCTATGGGCAGTTTTGTGTTTCCAATTAACCTATGCCCCCATAACTGCATGTCTCTGGACTGTTGGAGGAACATGTTTGCACCCATGCAAACACGGGGAGAACATGAAAACTCCACACAGAAAGACCCCAGCCTGATGGTGGAATTGAACTCAAGACCTTCATGCTGTGATTCATGTTTAAAGTCTTAGTAGATTGGTGTTAAATGGCTTGACAAAAACCCCCAAAATATTCCTCTAAAAGTGGTCAGCTCAAGGACTGAACTGAAAAGGGGGAAAAATACACATATAGAAGGCCTGAAGAGCTGTTCCTCAAGATCCCATTAAAAAACTACTAAATGTAGGTGAAATATCAAGTAATGAAGGGTGGCTAGAAACTTTTGCACAGTGTAACAAGTGTATTTTTACAGCGTTATGAACGAAATGAGTTGAATCAGCGGTCCCCAACCCCCGGGCCACAGACCGGTACCGGTCCGTGAGTCTTCAGGGTTTTTATCATTAACTCAGTTTCCCTGGGTCTTTTCCCGTGCGTTATGAATAAATCTTTTTTTTTGGTACCTGTACTGGTTTTATTTTGTTGTATTTATCCGCGACAACTTAAAGGCCGGTCTGTGAAAATATTGTTGGACATAAACTGGTCCGTGGCGCAAAAAAAGGTTGGGGACCGCTGAATTAAATTAGGATTACCACCATTGTAACAGGATTTGTGCTGCCGCCATCCGAGTTATTTTGAAAGCTTTGGTCCTGTCGTTTAGCCTAAATCTTCAGAACATGAGTCACTTTCTGAGTGTGTTTTTAATCACAATTTAAGACATCACCCTCAAAATGTAAAACTATATTCTACAAAAAAGATCATTAACTTCCAATTTGCGTAGGCTCATTTAAAACCCATCATCTTGGTTCATTAAAGCTACTTATTGTGACCCCCCTCGCAAAATCCCCCCCAAAAAGCAGTAGTATATTTGAGCCGCTTTTAGCGTTTTTCCAGGTTTTCGAAACTGACCTCGGCTGCAGAGGTGACGGTGCGGGTGGTGACCCCCACCGTGTAGATGCCTCCATTGGCGTCCTCGTGGATTTTGATGTTGGATTTCTGCTTCCTGGCCTCGAGGTCTCGAGTCGTGTCGAACAAATCGAGCACCTCCTCGTTGTAAAGCTAAAAAACAAGAAAGTCATAAATAATTAACAAACAGCCGACAGATTAGACGACGTCGTGCAGAGCGTAAATTATTATGTCACCGTCGGAAGCGCCATTTTTTCTCTTCAGCTGCTGCCTCACCAGCTGTTAGCAGCCACTTGCTGGCAGTTAAAAAATAAAGCCGGGCGCGACCTCGGAGACAGGCTAATGACAGTTTAATGGCAGTCGGGTTATCTGCGCACTTTAACAACCTGAACTGATACACCCTATGCCGACCTTTGACCTCTTGCTGTCTGCATGCTCTCGCTACGTCTAACAAACTGACTTTAAGTTATTTCAGTGTTATTTATCAGCTTGCTGATGATGTTCGATGTTACCAACTGAGTTGCTCTGCGTTGTTTGTGGATGTGAGTGTGTGTGTTTCTGCACCTCCAGGAACTGTGCATTGATCTTGAATTCAGGAACAGGCCTGCCCTGCTCAGTGGCGGCCTGTCTGCGCTCCTCGATTCCTCTGAACAGGTGGTTCACGGCCCGGGGAATGATGCCCAGCTCGTCCTCTCCGATGTTGACATCGAAGCCAGTTCCCATGGTGTACGTCTTCCCCGAACCCGTCTGGACAGAGAGGAAAAGACAGGGGGATGGGCCGGAGTCACGGTGACACAAAGAGGAATGAGACATTGGGGTTCAAATTCACACGTCACCCCTCTCCTCCCCACCGAAACGCCAGAGAGGCCCCGACGGGAGCGCGTGCGTGTTTGTGCCGACAGATGATCGAGAAAGACAGTTTTATTCTGCACGGCCGCACCTGTGTGCTTACCGTGTTTGTGTGCGTGCGTGTGAATGAGTGTGTTGGGCCGCTGCCGTGCCCCGTGAAAGGCGCTTTGTCAGAAAAATAACGGGCGAGGGAACAATGTGAGGACAGAATAATGAACACAAAGTGGAGCTCAGAGGAAGGGTAAGAAGAGGGAAGTTTAAAAAGCAGTTGTTCAATGACAGAGTGTCTCTTTGTACATTGAATTTCAATACAAAAACCCTTTAAATCACACTGAATAAAACTAAGCTGTTATTTTTGCCTCTATAGTCCTCAGTGTGGCTGCACCTTCCTTTCCTCCGTTGCCTGTGAGTAAAGCATTGGTGTCATGCTGAGGCTGTTCCAGGCCTTCACTCATATTCACAAAGGCCAAAACATGGTGTTGTGTCGATAGCAAGGATTAACAATGATCAGAGTGACCGGTTCACCACTGAAGGTGATTTTTACTTTGTTTCCACACTGATGCATTAAATCAGTGTTGTTCTTTTTTTGATTTGTGACTACATTAAATCAGCAAAGCCACAGTTTATATCACACTATGACAGATAAATGACATTGAGGCTAATTATCTGAACGCACTTTAATGAACACTAAATCACTGTGCAATTAATTCTGTTGGTATCGGAAGTTATCTATATTTGGATCATCACCGCCACTGGTCAGAACAGGCTAAGAAAAAATTGAGCCTAACACTTCAGACAGTTGAGCTGTTTTGCATTGCACAGGCCTTAATGTTACCGTACAATACATACATCATCCACTTTTTTCACAATTATACACTTGCAGAACTATAACCTCTACATAAAACAAAAGGATTTTGCATATCTGTCCATTTCAAAACCAAGGTGGACAAATGACCTTGCTGCTTTCCTCTGTTTCCAGTCTTTTTGCAAAGCAACTGTGGAACTGGCTGCCATAGCTTCAGAGATGAGAGTGGCACCAATCAACTGCTTTCAGGATGCATGTTAGTCTATAATGTTTAAAGCCATCAAATATGTTTTGACTTCTTGGTTTACTTTCCTGCTCTGGCATAATGTGAAGCAGACACTTTCTACTTTGTTTTGATTGGATAACAAACTTCCCTCTTATTCTAATTTATTAGAGGCAATACAAAGCTGTGGTGATGAGGACATGTTGGAACATATTGGCAGCACAGAGCTGCTGAGGCTCCTTTATTGCCTGCCTACCGATGTGAAAATGAAATCAGCTTCATATCACATGATGCCATAAATCTTTTGTTTCTGGAAGGAGTGCCGCTCCCTTGAGCAAAACTTTGACTGAATGTGAATATGTGACTGAGCTTGTGTATATTCATGCCATACCGGTGTGCTGTTAACATGAGTAAAAAAAGGCAACGCTCCATGACCTTCTACCAATACGCGTGCAGCAAAAGCCTGCTGACTAACCTGTCCATATGCAAAGATTGTGGCGTTGTAGCCCTCAAGGCAACCCTCGATGAGCCTCTCGGTGCAGTGGGTGTAGATCGTCTCCTGCTGGGTGTCCATATCGAAGACATAATCATAGGTGAAGGCCTTGTCCTTGCCCAGGACCACTTGGGGTTCTCCTGGCATCACATACGTACAGATGTGACAGCCCTCAATCTTCTCTTTGGGCAGCTGAGGACGAATCCTGGCAGACAGAGAGGGAGAAAGAGACCACAGTAGAGGTGAGACGTGGCTCAAGACTTGGGATAGGTTGTGGAGGTCACGTATGGGCAAGTTACCTTTCAGAGCTGGGAGAAGGGCTTTAACCGTTGTTAATGTGACAGTGTTACCCAACCAATGATCATCTCCTATGTCTAACCAAGTGGATTTATTGCTTATAAATAACATTGACTTTATTGGCTTAATGGTGAAAGTGCAGCTAAGCTGAAGACAGAAACAGTTTTCACTGAGCATGTCTTTTTATGCATGTGGAAACCAGTGTCAGCATGCTGCCCGTGCACCGTACAGTGCCCGCACTGTTCAGGAGTGAGGGAGAGCGAGCTCTGGGTAAACAGTCCCACCCATAGATTTCATTAAGGAATTGCTCTGTTTGCCTTCCTTCAAATAAAAACACTTCCCCGTTACATCATTTCCTCCTCCGCTTTTTATCGCTGCACTAACAGTTGACCTGAAGAGGAAGTGGAAATGCAGAAGGGAAATATTTGGAATACAGGGAATTAAAATGGTGAAAACTGTTTATAGCAAACCCTGGATGAAAATAGGAATAGAAAACAGTTCTATTAGTATCAATACTGCAATACTTGTGGAAATAAATGGTAAATTATAATGATGGGCATGTGAAGGAAAACCTCACAGTTAGCAGGAAGTAAATGGATTCCTTCAAAGGCCACAGTCAAACCCCAGAAAGGTTAGAATAACAGTGAAAAAACAGACTCTCAGAATAGAAAAGTGTCAGTACTGTTGGTGTCCTCTGGTGCTCATTAACTCTCTGTATGTGTGAGGATGTGGCACTTTGCATGAAGTCTGTACTATATCACATTAGTCACAGCAAGAGTCTACAGAAAAAAAGCAAAAGGCTTAGAAGGAAAGGAAAAGAAGGATGTCGGTGAAGCTACAGTAGCAAAGGTCCACAGAGGTGTCATTGTGCGTGCGTGACATCAGATCCCAGCTATTTAGCAGGCTCCCTCTCTGGGATTACAGCACTGATGAAAGCAGGACAGAGGCAGAGAGTCCTACCTGCAGTAACTGTATTCCTGTAAGAGTATTATAACTGTCAGCTCTGTGTTGTGAAAAGAAGTCCCAAAAAGTTCAGCTTTCCTAGCAGGATTTTCCTGACATTCACTCAATTGCATGCTACAGCAAAAGGCACAGAGAACTTACAAAGCATCAGATCTCATCGTTGAAAGGTGAAGTGAGAGTACAAAAACAATTTCCACAGCATTAGATGGAACACAGTGAAGACAGTCATCAAAAATCAGAGACATGTCCAGTTGTACACTGGTCCCTCGCTTTAACGTGGCCTTGCTGTTTCACTGATTTTTTTGTGCAATTTTGCATGCTTTTTTTGTGTTCTGCGTCCTGATTGGCTGTAGGCCATCGTCAATCAATCTCCTCTGTGCCGTGTCTCCTGTACAGAATGCGTTCAGCTTGTTATATTTACATAAATCTTTGATCGCTAGCAGTGTGATTCTGAAATGTATGAACTGTATGTTTCTAAGTTTTCTCCCCAACAACCACAACAATGTTGACGAAACGTAGGCAGCTGCGGTAGCACCCAGAAGGCAGAGGAAGATGCTAACCATCGCACAAAACGTTGAACTTCTGGACATGCTAAAGGAAGGTAGAAGTTACCATATTTTTTGGACCAAGTGTTTAAACAAGAAAGAAAAGTGTGAAAATGTTCATGCCTGTCTGAGAAAAGTGTATAAAGTGTGTAGTGACGGCTTTTAAGGCGTAAAACATCTATAATAATTGTAAAAAATAACGGATTTCACCTATTGCAGGTTATTTTTAGAACGTAACTCCCGCGATAAACGAGGGACCACTGTAGTTAATGAAAAGACAAGACGAAAACTGGTCAGGGAGGCTGCCAACAGACCTGTAGCACCACTGAAAGAGTACCAGAACCAGTACTTTCAGGTAGAGCAGGGCAATATGACCAAAAATATTTATCACGATATACATTTGAAAATTTGCGATAACGATATAACTGACGATATAATTGACACTAGACAAAATACTTTAAAACTCCTCAACTTTATTAGTGCAAAAAAAAAAAAATCAATGTATTTTCACTTAAACAAGCAGCTTTTTTAAGTGCATTAAAGTTATATAAAAAAAATTAACAGTGCAAATGCAAATTCCTTGCTGACAGTTTAACCAAAAGGCATTTCCAGTGGAAATTGGCCGACATATCCTCAGCATAACCATGTATAATATCCACAAAAGAGGTTATACACACACAATACAGTAATATTATGTTGAAGCGCAGGACGTATCACTCCGCAAGGCTCCTGCCTACAATAGCCTTAATGCTCCAACAATCCTACAAGCAGTGCGGGTTCGTAGCTTAGCAAAGTCGTACCGAAACATTTGACAGATTCTCGAGCGCCGTGTACATAAAATCGTTTCGAGGTCAGTAAACACAACCAGAATTCAACATAAGGCACACAGGATTATAAGGGGCTCTGTCGATTTTCAGAAAAAGCAAAGGATTGATTTTAAGTGTGCCGTATTTTCCAAAAAACACAGTAATAACGACGGCCTGCTAGCATGCTCTACCAAAAATAGTGCTTTGTTGTGTATCTGACGGATGAACGCTAAACCAGTTCCACACCACTGAAGTTGCAGCATTTTTACAAACCAGTTCTGGTTCATCCGTTTCATTCAACGATCCACTTTTGCCCTTCTCATTCTGTGTTGCCACCATGTGCGTATGAAAACAAAGGCACTGCGCATGCGCGTTTTACCCATATTCTATCGCGATATTTCATTTTCTTATCGTTGCCCAACATTACACTGGTATTACCGTGAACGGTATGATATAGCCCAGCCCTACTTTCAGACAAGAACTGGTTGTGTACTACACACTAAAAAACTAACAGTCTCCACATGTCTGCTCTGTGGGGTAGGGATGCAGGGTTGGTGAAGCATGGTGGTGGCAACATCATGCTTTGGGGCTGCTTTTCTTTTGCTGGAACTGTGGTTTTAGTCAAATACTAAACTTTTGATCTGAAATCCCAAGCATACATCCAAATCAACAAATAAATGGCTTCACCGGAAAAAAAGAAAATTAAAGTTTTGGAATGACCCAGCCAGAGCCCAGACCTAAATCCAGTACAAAATCTGTGAGCTAAAGAGGGCTGTGTGCAAGACATGCGCTCCTACCCAACAAGACTGAATGCTGCAATTAAATCAAAATGTGCTTCAACACAGTTTTAGCATAAGGGTGCGCACACGTACAACTAGCTTATTATTGTCTTATAGTGTCACATTAAAGGTAAGAAAATTTTTGAAATGATTTATTGTGATCTAATTTTTTTAACATCAGAAAAACCTGGCAGTTTAACAAGTGTGTGTACAACTACACTACAAGGCTTGTTGACACAAAGCTGATAAGAAAATGTCAAGTTAATGCATATTTTTAAAAACGACATACATCAGAGGTGGCTCCAGGTGAAGATGACGTAACTATCAGGTCATCTGAGAAGACTGTGACTTAATGGCACGACGGCTGAGAGCATTACAGGAGTGAATCTGCATTAATCCCCTTTGGCTAGCTTCCCAAAACTTGTCAGAGAGCTGTAATCCAGGGTAACAATAGAGGCACTCATTGCAGCTTACAGTGAGGGCATTAAGTCACTCAGTTATTGTTCATTTTGAGTGTTTGGGAAGAAAAATGTAACAAAGTATGAACTACAGCAAACACATTTAGAAAAAAAAAAGGATTTTTTCTAATATAGTTAAGTATAATTAAATCAGTGTTTTCTCCAAGAGGGAGAAAAAGGCCTCTACAAATGTAGTCTCCATTTAGAATAAATGCCTGGTCTATCTGATTACGTTCGCCTTAACAAAGCAGTGATGCACTGTTTGTTTTGTTGCTTGTTACGACATCTCCGGGCTCCTCCATTTAGAAATGGACCAGAGAGAGGAAAATAAATGTCTGAGGAAAAGATGAAGAAAAACAAAGGGCCAGGAAAGACTGGACATGATGGCTACAGATGGAAATTTCACCCACAGTGCATCTCGTCTCAAACTCATTATCTATCTTTGCATAACAAGACCTTTATACTGATCTCATTCAGCCTGTCATTTTTTCTTTCTTGTCACAGTAAGATGCACCACTGCAAATGAATAACGACACACTGCATGCACTGCCCTCGCTGTTCAGGAGGGCGAGCGTGTCATTTTATGTGCCTAGGATTTTTAAGCTCGGTTCTGTTTGGATCCAAAAGCACAGACTGCAGTCTCAGCTTATATTTAAATAGTAAAAGTGTCATACGTTATTTTGGGAGCAGCTGGTGAAAACTGCATGATAGCTAGACAAAACAGTAATAGTTAATAGAATAAATTCATGTTTTCTGGGTCATGTTGGTCTATGAAGCCATGCTTGGATGCCTCTGAATGCTCAGTGGGACAAGAAAAATGCTCTATAATGCCAGTCTATCTCCATTTTACAGTATGCTAACTATCCAAAAACAGCAAGACACAGATATTTGAAAATAGGCTCAAGTCATCACTCTAGGCAATGCAGGAAATAACACTAATGTGAGCCGGTAAGCGCTGTTACCAGCTCAGCCCTCTACCTGGCACACCCTCGGGCCACAGTCTTTTGGCCTGTAACTTCAACAACAGTGAAACAAGCTCTGTAAAGAAGAGCTTCTGCCTGTGTCTAAACCAACTTATGTATTCAGAGGGTGTGGCATGTTTTTTTTGTAGCTCACAGAATACAGCTAGAATAGTCCAGTAAAAACTGTGCCATATTTTGCTATGCTTAAAAAATTCTGGATTAAATGGCAATAAAGCACTGCTTTTCATTGCCAGAAGTCTGTTAAATCCTGTCAGTGAAACCAGTGATACTACAGTATTACCAACACCCACGTTTGTTAAGTACACTTGTACACTTTCTCACCTTCTAAGACTTAAATGCAAAGAGTAATACCACTACTACATCTGTGATCTAAA